TGTACTAGTTGGTGATGACACGAGGTATCATTACTTTGTGGGTGGAAAATCACCGCAGTGATCTACAATACCGCTTGGGACCAGTTTGGTCAACGAATATGAAGCCATCAATCTGTAAACCGAGTCGGGTGAGGAAGTTCGCAAGGTTTGCCAAGATTCATGTGAAAATGAATCAAATCGCTGAGAGAAGTGCCCAAAAACTGGCCCAAACTAATCGAAAGCTGTGTGGAGAAGGTAAACAGACTAGAAGGTAGCCTGTTGAGGGCCATGTAAACGGTAGCTATGTTGCAGCATGAGAAAATTGATAGAAGAAACAAGGCTTGCAATAAACAAACGTACAATTCGTTTTGGTAGTATTTAACTGAAAAAATAGATAAGCGTTTTCACCCTATTGTCAACGAAAGTACCCACTCTGACACCGCTAAGAAATTTCAAATTTTCTTTAATTAACAAATACATCAAATACATCAATTTCAGTGTGTGGAATACCTCCCAGATTCGTGCGTTCCTTTGAGTGTCACCCAGCTTCCCCAAGAGTAGATGAATATTGCTTGCATTCGTAGATAATGGAACGCCAGCTAAGCGCTATCCACCAGCCAGTGAGATGTATTGTTTCATCTCCTCGACCACTATTCCTCAGTCGTTCGATGTGATTTCTCCCAAAAAGGGCAAAACTCCCAAAGTCCTAACCACTCTCGATAATAAATACAGATGTGAGAAACATATAGCATTTGACCTTGAAAATTCAACGATTGGATTTAAAAATGAGTGAAATAATAATCGATGGTAACAAATAATCGAATTCAAAGACCCCATGTTATATTTAGGCCTTTGATCACGTGGTTAAGAAGTCAGGATTTTCGCTCCCTAATGGAGTATTTCGGTTCAAGTCCCGTTAGAGGCAAAAAATTTAGTAAATGCTGCAGACTGTACTTAACCGCATGTGGTGAAATTAAAGACTCGTTCATGGAAATTAGAAACCAGGTTAATCACATCTTGCAATTTCGTAAACTATTCGAAACCAACTACTGCGAATGTGATCAGATCAGATCAGATCAGATCAAACAGAGCAGAGCCCATATAAAATATAGCTCATATAGTTTGCCCCAAAAATACCCTGTGTTACTATGGGTTACTGTGTTGTATACGGTAGAAAGAATGCCGTCTGCGGTCGCATCGGTACACTTTACCACCAGGTGAGTCATCGAAGTCATAATCCGAAATATTTTATGGTTTCATTTCCAAAAGCCTGGTACACTTAAGAGAGGCAGTAGGTGAGAATATTACTAAAATGATCGATTGTATTGCTCTTCTCATTCAAACCTCTTCAAAATACGATATAAACTACACCGACCATCATTGATTGATTGGTGGATGACTGAAACTACTGGTCAATCATGAATAACTTTGCAATTAATGCACCAGTGATAATGAGTTACGTTTCTAAGGTAAGTGAACTACGATAAGATATCAATCTGTGAGGTTAAAAAAATGTTTTACTGTCTTATCACTACGCATAAGATAAGAAATGCGAATGAGTGAACTTAAGTTAAATTAACTTATTCGAGAAACATGAGATGCGGTTCCACTAACGATATTTGTCTCACGAACAGTCTTCGTCGGAACAAGTTGTCCAAAGTGATACATTTTCTGTCCAAACGATCTGACACGTAAAATCGATTTGATATATATATATATATATATATATATATATA